CAGGGGTTACACCTCTTTCCTTTGGCAAACCTGAATTAAAACTTAAGATACAACTAGCCTCGAGGTATTTGTGTAATTTATCATGTGACATTGGGCTGACTTTGGCCGCCTAGAGCCTGGAGCCACACAGAGGGCGAAGGTGGCTATTATATCCTGTGCAAGTTTATCTTTTGAGCCAGCAGCAGCACCCACACGCACACCCACGACAGTTCGTGACACTGATCGCTTTTTGCAGTTTTTATTGACTTAAATAGCATCGGCTATATGGGGAACCAAATTCATGGACTGACTGTGGAAATCAGTTTCTTACAGCCTGAATGATAATAATAATAATAATGCCGATAATAATAATGATAATAGTAATGAAAATAATAATGGTTCAGTCCAAGAAAATATAGACAGTTTTTTTAATATTCTCTCGTCCAGTTCTAGGACTAAAATGTAAATCAAAGGACTCATTAAACAAGAATAATAACATTAATAATCAATAAATTATAGTACGCTTTTAGTGTAGGGGTTAGTGTAAAGAGGAAGTGCGTGTAAAGCAGCTGCATCTTTGAGATTTCTAAAATAGAGTTATCAAATATCTTCGTTTGAAGAGGCATCGATAGACAAATAGACTGAAAACCCAAAAATTGAGAACCGATAAAAAAAATGGACTGCTGCATAACTCATCTGCAGGATGAAGACCGACCGCTTTTAGAGAACGAATTAAATCGTTTCATGTGGGTTGAACTGAATTGAATGAGATGCGTAACGCAGACTTCTTTTGAGGAATTAGTACAGCACATGCAAGACATTTTATCTAGATTAATTTGATTTTGAATACATGTCTGCGATAAACTGATAACAGATAAAAATAAATTTTCCCTTCACTGACCTTCCTACTTCCTATTTTCTGGTTTGAATTATGGCCTTTTTTCCTCATACAGACGGTTTACTCAAAGACGTACTGGCTTGTTAAGGGACGTGATGGAATTTTGATGAAGATTTGTTGGGAATTACTGAGGCAGAGTCTCTACAGGAAAAATGAGATTTTTATTTGTATTATGACCATGGTTTCATAAATTACTGCTATGATTCAAAACACTATAAACGTGATCTTGGTCGTGTTAACGAACTATCTTTAGAAAATTTGCAACAACAACAAGAACAGCATGAAATCATCTTTTGACGACTCTAGGGGTAATTACCAAACGCGAACTAAATTTACAGTCAACAAATCAAAGATGTAATCCAATCAAATCGTTAGCATTTTTTGACAAGAAATTAACACGCACCGATCTAAACAACAAATTTGCGTTATAAACAAAGTGTTTCAAGTTTATCCGCTTAATTTGAAAAGAATCGTTCTCGTAGATGTTCATACATTGTCATACGACGTCAATCTAGAGAGAAAAACAAAAGAAGCAGCTGTTCTAACGAGTTAAAGAAAGGTAATATCAATGAAAGACCTCACGTATCATTGCAATTCTAAGGTATTGATGCACAAATTTACTAAGATGAGGGCTGTGAAGACAATATCCACTACTAAATGAATATCGATGGTTACTAATGATATCTACTAAAGAACAGAAATTTCAGCATCAAGACTTAACCTGTCCGTTTTGTTTTTTCGAAAACCGTATGGTAGCTCTTTTGGTGGGAAGAACTCAACGCGACACCAAAACAAAGCAGCGTTAAGTTCTTACTTCCTTTCATCTGTCGCTACTCAATAGTCATGGCTCTCTTTCTCCCATGTGATAAACTCTTGTCTATAAATCCGTCTCGAATCTGGTTGATGCTGGCGCCTTTTTCGATCAGGAAGCTTGCGCAGTCGAATTCTCCCTCGTAAACCGCAGCGTCCAGCGGTGAAGAGCCATCTTTATCCCGCACGTCGAGCTGTGCACCTTTCGTGACAAGATATTGAAGGCTTTCAAGGCTTCCCGAGCTAGCAGCACGATGTAACGGGTAAACTCCATCGAGACCCGCCTGGTTGATATCCACGTTCGATCCTTCCACTACGCTTTTCAATGTGTCCACGTCATTGTGTGTGGCGGCCCACTGCAGTAAAACATAAGGATCAAGCGACAAACTTCGTTTCCTCCTAACAGATTTTTCGTCCGTTGTCAATGAATCGTTACTTCGTAGCTGCGCTGTCCTATCTTCGCTTATTTTCCTCGAGATGTTTCTAGAAGTGGAAAGTTTGAGTACACTTTTACAAATCGAGGAAGACATCTTGACTTATCAAGAGCGTGTCTGAGTATTTTTTTTTTTTCACTCGGCTGATGCCTTTAAGATTTAAACAATTTTAGTTAGCTTAATTGTTTTCCATCTAAAGTTTCACTTCCTGCGGGCAGAATCGTTTTGATCAAAATTACTTCTGTTGCTTTAGCATGGCTTTGCATCTGGATGAGTTCGAGCGATTTTAATTTACGCCTCAACGCAACTTTCAGAAGCAAAGCACAACCAATAAATAAAATAAGTTCAGGCTTTGAAAGGATAATCCATTTTCTACTGACACGCCTTAAAAGTGGATACTTATCGTTTTCGTTGTCTGTCATTGGGATTGATCAAAATCCATACTTAAGTATACAGTGAAAGGTCAAATAACTCTTATGTATCTGGTCGTTGCCAAGAATAACTGTTATTTCCTCTGAAAACAAAAGAAAAAAAAGGTATACAGTTAAAGGTTGGTCCGAAAACCAATATGTGAAAGAGGGGTACCTGTTCTCCATGCAAAAGGAGAATCATTGCGTTTCTAGGCTAATTGCAAGTTATAAAGTTTGACTATTTTGGTCCCTTTTAAATGACAGTGGGTGTTAAACGAAAACATACAAGAATCTCTACACGTAATCATTAATTGTCTTTTTTAAACACGATAAAGAAAGGGCGAGAAAAAACACTTAACCAAAACCTGTTAGTAGATACAAAACTAAGCAACCTAAATCTAAAAGGCAAAGGAATTTTTCAAGAAATTGAGCAAATTTGCAGCACCATAAGAATTTTACTCAAAATTGAAGGAAATTAATCGACACAAGTTAAGTCAAAATAAGTGTGAGCGTAATCTACCGAAATCAGAGAATTAAAGCAAACTAACAAACAAACAAACTAATGAAACAATTCGTTTGTGAGAGAGATAGGAATACAGAATAGAGAGGTCAAACACTGTATAGGTTAAGCCAGGAGGACAAACAAGTAGTTAAGAGCACAATAAACCCGTTATCAACTCCATTTTCGAAGTTATCAACACAGTCTAGGAGTCCTGCGTTACAATCGTAAGTTGCCTTTGATAGATAACATTGATCGGGAGCTCTGTTATTGATAAGTTCCATTATCATGCAAAATCTTGACCAATATCCGAGATTTCTCTGTAATCGATCAGAACCCTTCAATGAATCTTATCGGATAAAGCTTGACCGCGACAATCTTAGAGGCCGCTTCCATTAGCTTTAATACCTGACCACAGCGTAGTAATAAATATTTCTATTGCATATTTTCGCGTTCGTAATGATACTTGTAATGAAGAACCGCGGTTTCCAAAATCAACATACTCAACGGTTTCGGGCGGAAGCGATACACAAAGTTCATTAAAGCGAAAGAATGTAGGATAAGTTGATCACTGAACTCAAACGAGTGTTAGCACGTACTTTACAAAAAGTTGTTCAGTTCTCAGCATTTGCCTGAGAAGAAATATGATCGAGCTCTGCGCATTTTGCACGTTTCTGGAAATTGGCGTTTAGGCCCTAAGTCATTTTTTGTAAGTTTTCAATGTTGGACCAGAACCAGTTTTTCCTTCGCGTATGTATCTCAAAACTGGAGTCAGGGTCATTCATCGGTTTATCGCATTGCCTCAATCGTCTTAGATGTAGAGGACACTTTGCTAGACTCCCCGAGCTTTGTTGAATTTGCGGTAAAAAGGTAGAGATAAGCAGCATCAGACAGGCTTTGGGTTCCATCGGGAGAAAAGTCCATCAGCTGAGATTGAATTCCCAGGGCGGACCCAGGAATTTGATGAAGACGGGGGTGTATATATTTTACTGTATAAATATTTTACCGTGTATATATTTATTTTCTTTCACTAGAGCCACGATATATAAATTTGAGACAAGCAAGCTTTAAATACTTCAAGTTGAGTTGTAATACGCGATCCTTTTGTTGAAAGAATCATGGTTTCATACAATGGTCATGACAGCTTCGAATGAGGCAGCACCTAGCTAACGGCCTAAGGACATAACAGGTTTTATCTTACTCAGCGAAGTAGAATTAGATGTTAAAGGAATGTCTTACTTGTAAGAATTAAGTTGTCAATCAATCAATAAAACCCCCAAGTCTGTGGGGGGGGGGGGGTGGGGATATTCAGAATCCCCGACCTTCTCCCCGATCCGCGAATGAATGGTTACTCAGCGGCATAAAATATCCACAGCATAAACCGTCGCCATAGAGAAACATCAATAGCCTTCAGTATCTTTACTGACGTCAATTGCAATGCAAACCTTCAGCTTACGCTCCTTTGTTTGTTAAACTAATATCACACTCGGTTGCGGGCCAATTAAATTGGATCAAGCTGACGATAAACGCGTCACACAGTGGATTCAAAGAAATTGAAAGAGCTCAGTTCTAACAATGTCATCGATTTTTAGAGATAACACTTATTTTACGCTTTCAGGCATAATAAAGAACGATTCCAACCGGCCAATAGAAACAAATTGGAAAGTTTGTAGAAAAAAAAAAAAAAAAAGAAAGAAATTGTTTTACCACTTCAACTTTGTTTTAGTAATATGACAAAAATAAATATACAAGAGGTCAAGTTAATCTAGGAAGTCAACTGATTTGTTAAGCCGGACCAGAAAGTTCGCTGACCTGTGAAAGACCACAGGAATGTTCAAATTAGCCTAAAGTCAACCATGATCAAAGATAGCGAAAGAAAACAAGCTCTTAATTGAATACAACAATGACGTCTTTAAAACCTGATTTATCATCGCAAATATTGGAATTTTTTAGTCACGATTGCCTTCAGGCATTGGAAGGTGAAATTGTGAAAACGGCCCAAAAGAGAGCGACATATAGTTACAATCAACGAAATGTGCACAACCAAAACTTTCACCAAAACAAATCTGCTTACAGGAAATGAAACTCTAGAAGCCAAAACATTATCCCCACCAACCCGTGAGGGCCCTAAAGACAAGGAGATACCAGATATTTGCGTGCAATCTTGGCAGTCAACAGATGAAAACAAGAACTCACACACCAATCTAGATCATCTTGGAATAGACATGTGCTCTGCCACAAAGACTGCGTTAAAATTTCCGGCAAGAAACTGTGTCTTGAGAAGAATCAGCGAAGAAAGAATAGAAACGCAAAAAGATGATGGTAAACTGAAGCCAGATGATAAATCAGCGAGGAGAAGAAAACAAAGCTTATCGTTGGATCCACAACTAGTACTCCAGTGGGCTGCCACGTACAATGATGTTGATACCTTAAAAAATGTAGTGGAAGGCACGAAAGTCGATCTTAATGCTCCAGGAGTTGATGGGTCGTATGCCTTACATCGAGCTGCTAGCACAGGGAGCCTTGAATGTCTTCAGTATCTCGTGACCAAAGGTGCGCAGCTGGAGGTTCGCGACAAAGAAGGGTCCTCGCCGCTGGATGCTGCGGTTTGCGAAGGAGAATTTGACTGCGCGCGCTTTCTTATCGAAAAAGGCGCGAGTATCAGTCATATTAAAGACGGATTTACGGACAGGAATCTGGTTAAAGTACGAGGACGAGAGCGAGCCATGACCTTCACGTAGCCGGCACACAAAAAGTGCGAAAATCGGCTCGCAGTTCAAGGGCGAAATGTTCTTAAACTTTTGTACTCCCTTGGATCAGTGAATGAAATCTGCCTCGCCGTTTATTCGAGTCGAACAATGATCAAATGATTGATTACATGGAAAGTAAATGGTAGTAAGATGTATCGAGGAAGAGGTTCCTCAAATAGGTTGAAGTGCAGTTTGCACATAAAATCTGACTACAGACGCGTCGACGAGATCGGCGCTCTCGAAGACGAATGGGAGAACTGCTTGCTCATCAGTTTCTTTACTGATTAATCGCGCTTGAGTGTAACAGGTGACTAGATACCTCTTAACTGAGGGAAGGATAAAAAGGACTGTGGAATTCACGGTTAAACTTGAAATAAGAACAATTTGGGTAATTTATATTTTTAGAGTAATCTATGAATCATGTCAGTGCTTGGTGAAACAGGTTTCGTCAAAATTTTGAAGGAACCATCGCTCTTTCGGTTCAAAGGGTAAAAAAAAAAAGTATCTTTGCTTAATGAAAAAATTAAAATTGTCAATGGAAATACAAAAGACTACTTAAATTGATAACCGTCATTCAGCAGTAATAGCCACCAGGATAATGGGTTTCGAATATCAAAATTAGTATCACGACCTTGCTCGTAAGTTTAGGCCTTATATAAGTTAGATACAAATGGTGTAATGATAAAGACGCGTTAGTTTCATACAGATTTCGGATTGGTGTGACCCTGTATGGCGTTCTGTGATAAGAAAAATCCTGATTTATGAAGTTTTAATTTTCCTGAACTCACCTCCGTTGATTCTCATCTTAATTTGTCTGTCTTGTTTGTAATCTCGTTGTCAGTCATCATTCCAACGAGGTTGATTATTTGTGTCAATAGACAGGGGGTTTGTCGAATACTTCCTTATGCTTGAAGAACAATTATCCGTTATACGAAGCATGTCGGAGTGTTTAATCAATTTTTTTAAGTTTTCATGTGAATCAGCGGCCTTGTCTTGAAACGAAAACGCCTTTGTTCGCCTACTCTATGGAAGAGAAAAAAATTCAGTCGTACTGGATTTCAGCGCTTGACTGAGTCAGGTTACCAATTCACCCGCAATCAAGCGGCTAGCTGACACGAGCTAGCTGTATTGAGAAGCAACATACGATAAAGATAAGGACTGTTAAATGGTTGTTGTCGAGAGAAAAGTTCTATGTGGCAAAAATGCCAGGTCGAATGAAGCCACTAAGCTGCAGGTCAATGAAGTATGTTTCACTGATGAATCCAATTAATGAACATGTGTTTATGTTTGTGTTTTGTGTTGATCTTCAACATGAATAATTGTCGAACGTACGCTTCATATACACTGATCTTAATTGTAACAGCGCACAACACCAAGATGGTGGGTGGGACAAACAGGGGACACACAGGCCACGATAGACATACCATACATTAGACCCTTCTTAGACATTTTGTTGTCAAACAGGGGACATACTAGCCATACATATGAAAGACACTATTTATTAGACCCCACCAAGACAGTTTGTCGTCATAACTCGACTAGCCAGGGGAGCCATTCTATGAGACCACAGCTTTACTTTTATTTCCCTTTTTTTTATTACTTTGACATTGCTCTGGCTTATTGAAAATTGAATAAGGCAGCTAGGAAAGTACTGGCGAGAGTAAGGAAACAGACCACACTCCCCCACTCCCACCCCCCATCCCCCCTTAACACAAATATAGCGAGTCGGGTCCATTTTCTTGTCTCTCGTAAAAGTGAAGCAAAAAGAGTAACTGAACACCCTCCATACTGAATGAAGTGCTGAACTGTAAACCATGTTGTTCGGACGTATGTATGAAAAGGCGATAGTTTAACAGGGCTGAACGACAACTTATTCTGATTCTCTACCTGTCTGAGTCCATAGTCGCCAATTATGCCAACAGTTTCTCAAGGAGAGCCATTTCCTTTTCTGTTTGAGAACCAGACAAAAGTAAAATCAAGAAGTCTTTTTTTTCTCGTAGATATATATCTTTGCTGACACTAAGCTGATGTTGACACTTATGGATTTCAACACCACAGAGTATTCCAGTTTTGATCGCATTATCACATTACAAAAGCGATGAGTCGAATATTTTCAAGGCAAAATGGATGCAGTACTTTATTTTGTAAAAATTTCACGAAATTTCACAAACCAGCTGTAATACAACTATCTGGACATATGAGATCTACAGTGCTACCGAGAGCTATTAATCCGCCAGAAGAACATTTCTTCATGGTTGCAAAGATACCATTTAGCTCTCTAAAATTCCGTCAACAGTCGACATGATTTCATTAGCGACTGATTAGCTTGAAGGTTTTTTTTGTCTAATGAGATTAAGAATTATGTAATTAGCAGTTTATTTTCTGAAACCACAACCTACATTAACGAGTTTTCCTTGGTTAATTCTCTGTTGGAAAACTGACTGACTAGAGTCCAATGAATTCCCTAACGTCATTCCACTGTTCGAGAAGATCCACTTGATAACCAGTAACCTTGGCAAAAAAATCGGACCCGGTGATGCGGAGGTCGTGAGTTCGCTGTTATAATCGGTTACCATAGCAACTAATTTTGAACAAATTTTGTCATGATTGATTGAAAAAGGCTGCCATTAAAGAAAACTAACTTGATATAATTGACAAAAAAAAACGTAGTGAGCGACATTTCGAGATTCTCGCTCTTTCGCCTTTCAAAGTGCGCAGACGAACAAAAAACAAATATTACGAAGTATCAGCCTTTAAATGGAAACACGGGTGAAATTGTTTATTTACTGGTAAATCTTAGCAATGATTTTGCTCTGAGGTCACGGTGCAGTAGCTTTTAATAAACAGCCAGCATTTGTAACAAAACAGCTCTTAAAAGCAATGTCTGCTTTGGGCGAAGCAGTGTTTTTATGCCTGTTTTCGACGATTTTACAACAAGTTTGCTCGCTGGATAATGGCCTCGCAGTAACTCCACCAAGTAAGTAGTTAGTTTTGTTTTAGAGGAACTAAATTCTACAAAAATTATAAACAACAAACTCCATTTTTCTCGAGGCTGATTTCAGAACTGGTCTTGAACAATTTTGCTCGCATCCTGGCAATGGTTTGGTAAAATTATTGCATCTTAGCACCGTTTTCCGGCCTATATGACCGTTGTTTTTCTCTTTTTGTAAAATTCGATTCTCCCTTTATCGTTTAGTTTCATAATTTATTACCATTTCCTTGGTGACAATGCGTTCTTCGTCGCTGCTTGGTACCTGTTACACCCGTCAAGAGATCAGTAAATATTGATGACAGGAAAAATAATTTTTTGGTGGTTCCTTCACAACGAAATGAAAATTTGATCCCAGTAAATGCACAACCTTGAGCCACGCCTGTCAGTTGTTGTAAGTTTATCCTTAAGAATTGGAAAAAAGATGATTTATATGGGTGAGCAAAATCTTTTCAGCGAGAAAATGAATGAAAATGAAAGCCGATTAAATAAACCATTTTGAAGCGAATATGACTGGTATTCACTAAAGAGAGAAATGCTAGTGCAAGTTTGAAGAATTCATGATTTCTATGATCTAGAAATAAGATAGATTGTACAAACATTTTCAGATAAGCTCAAGAACATTAATTCGAACGAAGGTTCAATTTGTCATCACATAGCAACATCAACCTTGTCCCCAAGGCCCCTCCCCATTTTGAAGGGCAAATTCCCTGGGTACGAGATTAAAAAGTCTTAGTATCATTCGGCTAACACTGAATCTAACAAGATAAGTTCTCTGGTTTTGAAATTACACTAGTTAGCATATCAGATCACAACAGAACAAAACGTAGCTTCAAAGAAATTTTTCCTAAATTTCCGAAAGGGAAGGACATTATTCAACAGGCGTCTTTGATAGCTCTCCAAATTCAAGAATATTACAGCTACATAGCAATTTCAGTGCAAAAGCTTAAATTCTGAATAGCATTGATAGTTGCTCTGTATACTATGGAAATAGCTTCTTAGGGTATACACTTCCATCTCAGCTAATTTGAATTAAAAGCACGTTTCTGAGTCTATGCAAAAATTCCCACACGCGGAATAAGACACGGTGAATTTGCACGGAGCAATCATGTTTGATAATGCTTTTTTGGTCATCTGTGTTGCTGTTGTCCGTAATTGAAAGTCACGCGAGGACTATCTTTTGTCAATCTTCTCTTGACAAGAGTAAATTAATTCTAAGAACTTTTGTGTGCGTTTGTTATAGTGGGATGGATGTCGTGGGAGAGATTTCGCTGTGTTACAGATTGCGAGAAGGATCCTAGAAACTGCATCAGGTAAAAATGGAGGGACTCAAGATGCTGTGATCTAATAAATCAAGACTATTGAACATGATAGGTTATATTCACTACTCACAATGCACCATAGTTTTTACTTATTAACACCATAACTATATTGACTGATTCATTGTTTGATAGCTTGATTGATCGACTGAATGATTCATTGATTGATTGATTGACTGATTGATTGATTGACTGATTGATTGGCTGATTGACTGACTGATTGATTGACTGATTGATTGACTGATTGATTGATTGATTGACTGACTGATTTATTTATTGATCTGACTGCAGTGAAAGACTTTACATGGAAATGGCAGATGCAATGTATTTTGGTGGATATAGCACTGTTGGCTACAAGTATATCTGCATTGATGTGAGGAATTCTCCAGCTAAATAACAAATACTACCATTTTCATTTCAAACGAACATTTTCATTTCAAACGAACATTTTCTTTTCAAACGAACATTTTTAAACCGCCTCCCAGTTAGCTCAATGGATAGAGCGCTGAACTGTTGTGCGGGAGGTCGAGGGTTCAAGCCCCGGCCGGACCAACACTCAAGGCCTTAAAATAATTTAGAAGAATATGCTTCCTTTCTATAACATCAAGAAATGGTTAGATATTCTAGTCTTCTCGGATAGGGACGAATAAATGGAGGTCCCGTCTCCTGGCAAGAGGGGTAGGAGACGGTAATTTCCCACATACGAGATTACTGTGTGATGGATGTCCTTACCTGGGGTGGGATGGGTGGGTTGGGTTTAGGTGGATGAACCTTGTGGGGGACTACGTGTCCTATTGTTCTTCCACCTGTAGAATGTACAAATCTTTAGAAACAATCAAAGTTTGAACATTTTCTCCATTTGCTTTACAACTCTTGTCAAAGTGAAATTGATAGAAAATGCTAGTTATATCATCCAATTATTTCACTCTAACGCTTCTAATTTTACTGCTCCATATCTAGATATCAGATTATCTTTGTCTTAAGACGTTTTTGATTCCAAGCCGAAGACAAGCGTGAAAATTATATCTTGAGTTCTTTCCTGATCATACTTCAGCTTTCGCTCTTAATTCTATATCTTTTCAACCAAGCGCTTGGTATTTCAGATTTCGTTCTCAGTTCTTCATTGCCTTAATTTCCATTTCTCTGTTTTCCTTCAATTTCAGGATTGCTGGACCGATATGAGTCGAACAAAAGATGGTCGGCTGCGGGCGGATCCAAAACGTTTCCCAAACGGAATTAAAAAGCTAGCAGATTACGTACGTAGAGCATTATGTTTCAAGTCATCTTACTTATCTCTGTTGTTTCTTATGTCATGATATATTTACTGCAGTTATCTTCTGGAAGGGTCTTTCCTCCTTGAAGCTAAAGCATATTTGCACTGATGACATTTCCAGGTTCATGCAAGGGGTCTTAAGTTGGGAATCTATGCAGGTACCTTGGTCCTTTATAAACTTCTTATTTTGAAACCTTGAGTTCATGTTTTCTCCAGTCTCGTCGTCAGATCAGTCTGCATGTAACCTTCTGATTTCTTTGAACAATTTCAGATTATGGAACCAAGACATGCGCAGGGTACCCAGGGAGCATCCATCATATAAAGAAAGATGCACAGGTTTGTACACCAGTTGAAACAATCGCACTCCGTAAAAACTGACTCTTTTTCTTTCTCGTTCACAGTGGGCAAATATTTTTTTAGTGTCACTCTAAGCTGGTTTCTCTTCTCAGACATTTGCAGATTGGGGAGTGGATTACCTCAAGCTGGATGGTTGTTATGCAAACCCCAAAAAGATGGACAAAGGATACCCAAAGTTTGCCAAGGCACTGAATAAGACAGGCCGCCCCATAGTGTTTTCATGCAGTTGGCCTGCGTACCAAGTCTTCACGGGCATAAAAGTGGGTATGACATTGTTTCTCAGGATGCAAGGTTTTTTTTCTTTTGAAAAGTGGTTTGCGCTTATCCAAGAAAATAAGTTCGTTTTCGTTTTGATTTTGTTCTTGTAGAGAAGCGTGCTTAGGGGCTAAAATTTTTGCGGTAGCAAAAGCTGAAAGAGGGGAAACAAAATCGAAAAGGTTCATGACAACTTTCTTTTCATGTATATTCAAATTAATCGAATGAAGCCTTACACTGCTGTAAAAAGTAAAATGTTTTAAAAACCCGAACTTTCGCCGATCAACGGCATCATAAGAGTTCCCTGATGATGCCGTTGATCGGAGAAAGCTCGGAATTTTAAAACATTTTACTTTTTACAGCAGTGTAAGGCTTCATTCGATTAATTTGTGTATATTTTAGCAATGCTGCTGAAGGAAAACATGAACAGATTACTTTCATTTCGTGATTCGTTACTAATGCTACATCACAACCAATGTAATAATATTTTTTCAGTTGCTAGGTCTTGGCGTAGTATCAAAGATGAAATAAGTTTTTTGTAAATTTATTTGCAGCCCAACTACAAGAAGATCGCGAAATATTGCAATTTATGGAGAAATTATGGTGATATACAGGTAAACCTAAGAATAATATAATCACGCTTTTTGTCGCAACGCTTCACATTTCATTGCGATTTGGGAGAAAAGGAATACAGGACGTGTTGGACTCCTCCTCTATTGCAGCATATATCCTCGAATATGAAATATTTTGGCTTAAAACACTGTAGGCTGAAGTTTAATCCCAGCGTTTCAAATCATACATACTGATTCGTAGGGCATTCACAAAAACCTTGGCTTTTAATTTGCAGGATTCATTCCAGAGCTTGGTGAACATTTTAAGTTGGTATGGAGACAATCAGGATGACATGATACCAGTGGCAGGTAGCGGACACTGGAACGACCCTGATATGGTAAGTGGACTCTCTTTGAAAAGCATGCACACTCGCTGTATCCTCTTGATACCATGATTCCTTTCTCCAGGCTTTGAACTGGACGTTCCTTGACGTTTAGTCGTAGGTAGTACAGAGCTCGAGTTTTACGTGTCCACGTGACAAAAAGCCTTTTGAATTCAGGACGTCATCAGATTGACATCCTTATTTTGCAACCTCATAACCTCGGTGGGAAAACTGCAAACAGCGCTTTTCCTCGACCCAGAACTGGTTCATATTTACCCATTATTGTCAAAAGTTTCTTTATTTAACTATATTAAAACAATTCTTATTCACGTTCCTCATGTAAATGTTACACTGCTCTTTTTATCATCGATGGACCGTGATCCAAATGTAAATTCTGCTAACCCCGCCCCTTACCAAATACTCTGACAAGAGAAAACATGAACTTATTATCTTTTATTTAATTAATTAAAATCATAGGGAGAGCCTCAAATGAACCAAAAGGATAAGTAGGAATTATCTCATTTCTTTTTTGACCCATATTTTCTCTCTCAGCTAATAATTGGAAACTTTGGTCTGAGTCATGAACAGTCCAAGCTACAGTTTGCTCTTTGGGCCATATTGGCATCTGTAAGTATTTCCTAGTGACCCAAGAAAGCCCTTGATTTCAGTCCTTAGATTGAAAAACAATGGTCAAAAAATTCCATTGCAACCGATTTAATTTTTATTGCAAATACGGTCAAATAAAAATAAGTTCTTCAAGTCGTGTTTCTCTATCTTAGAAGGGTTTATAGATTGGCTCTTCAGTAATTATGAATTTCCCTTTTTTTCGCTCGAGAACGAGTTCGTTTTAAAACGGGATTATTTCTCTCTTTCTATTTCTCTCTCTCGGGAATAAGTAGTTATAGCAGTAATGACTTATTAATGGCTAAGGGCAACCAGTTGCAATCCTTGAAGAAGTTTCTTGACTGAGTCTCTTTGACAGCAATTCATGCTTTTGAAATTATTCTTTGCATGATTTTCGTCATCAGCCTTTGCTCATGTCAAACGATTTACGGGACATTGATGCCAGATCCAGAGAAATTCTTCTGAACACGTAAGTCACGTGCGCTGTCACGAGCACTGCTGAGGTCAGCATTTCCTTTCAACTTCCATCGCGTTTTTTACAAATCAAGTCTCTGTGTCATTTTAATTAAGGAAGAATCGAAAGAGTCCTAAATGCAGACAGCGCCATGAAACCACCAATGATTTCATGAGAAACAACAGTCCCTTTTACAGTTGTGGGCTTGGTGGCCAAGCCTTTGAACAGGAGTGAGGCTAAGGGTGACCTTGTTATGATAGAGATGTTGCTGCTTTTCAAATGCAAATTTCTTTGTTATCATGCTAACTAGATACAGGTCTCTATCACGACAGGGTCACTCTTAGCCTCATTCCTGTTCAAAGGCTTGGCCACCAAGCCCACAACTGTAAAAGGGATTATTTACATTCCAACTGAAACCCAATTTTTTTTCACTCCTGAAAATAACTTAGCCGGAAATTAAAATATATTTTACAGAGAAATAATCGCCGTAAACCAAGACAAGCTCGGAAAACAAGGAAAGCGAGTGATTAAGGTACAGCGAAATTCAGCAGCATTAGTAATTTTGAGCAAAAAAACCCCCTACATCTGGAGGGGTGGTTTCAAGCATCCATGACCGCAATACATACCCGCGTCTTTTTTTAGGTAATTGTTATTAATATTCTTTCATCAGGATTGCTTGAAATGCTAAGCTGCTATAATTCATTCGGACAATTCATTAGAAATAAGACAGACGATAACTATTTGAAAAAAGCGCTCAGGAGGACTCAGATTTCAGGACCCTCCGATTTCACCGTCAGTTCGGTTCACTCTCGTGAAATCGATGGTAAACCAGGCTATTCATGAGGTTTATATACATGACAACTGTTAGTCCTACATACTGCAAAGGTCTGGTAGCAATATCGGAAACGATGACCGAGCTCAAAATTCCCATTCTTCTCTTAGTTTAGTATTAACATAATGGCTTAAATCAAGTTTCTTTTCTGTAGAACAAAGAAACATTTACAGAGGTATGGGCGCGCCCCTTGTCAGACTGCGGAAGCGTAGCTGTGGTGCTGCTTAGCCTGAGATCAGATCTACCGTCCGATGTGGAAGCCCCGTTCTCAGACGTAAGCATCTGAATTCAATTCTCTCACTAAAGCTTTTTGACAGGAAGTACCAAATCTAACATCGATCATCCTTTCCAGGATTTTTTCTGAGCGTGCGTGATGTGCGGCCTTCTCTTTTACTAAAACATCCTGAGGGTACATGATACCCTTCTCAGAAGAGAACTTCCTCCAGAAGTTCTGGAGGAAGTTCTCTTCAGACGTTCCCACCCTTTTGATCAAGGCGAATACTTATTTCAAAACTTAGTTTAGATCTATTGTCTTGGAGTAAATCTCCCCCTCTAAAACGTCTAATGTTTTCCGACTTAATACAAAACGATTTCCTCGTGGGGTATCAGGATACAGGATATCTTCCTCGGAGAAGGGTGGCTTCGTTCCTTCCCCCCCCTCCCCCACCCAGCCACACACACACACACACACACACACACACACACACACACACAGTCATCATACTTATTAAACTAACTGTTTCTATTCGAACTTAGGTTGGAATTTCAACAAAAAGTGCCTGCGCACGTGATCTATTCTCTCATCAGCAGCTAGGAATGTATAATGAAACATTCATAGCCAGAGTGAACCCCAGTGGAGTGGTCATGATGAAGCTGACACCGATCTGTGAAGAGGAAAAAAATATAGTCAAAAAGAGAAAAGGAAAAGGAAAAGAAAAACATAAGAAGAGTTGCTGCTTGACCAGTTGTTGACATAATCAGGAGCTCTTGACTGTGTTTACTAATTAATTTTTTTGTTGCAATCAATAAAATAGTGAGAAACGTTTGTTTGAAATGTCTCCTCACGAGTGGGAAAAACCTGTGCTGTTCTGTAACGAAAAAGGAACGATTATTATAAAGAACTCACGTTTTGAGTGTCTGACAGACTGGTTAATTCTCCATCGAATGCTTGGAACACACAAGCTGTTCCCTCGCGCGGAGAGCGGGAGTTTTCCCTCTAGGGTGGGATGCCTGTGCAACGAGTGATCTCGTGATTTCTTGAGCCTGAACTGAAAATGGCGGATAGTAACTGGGCTTTTGCGGCCGTAACTCTGGTTATTTTAGTACCCTTCTTTAACAAGTATGCAGTTGTTGGATTGAATAATGGCTTAGCACTTACACCACCAAGTAAGGTTACTCAGTGCAATTCATAAGTTGAAAAAGTTGACCAGTGTTCAGCTGATTTGCGTAGGACACCGATTTAAAATTATGTGCTTTTCTCCTGAGATAATTTTTCACGAAACTGACGCATCGTTCGGGTTTGCTCCATTTAAATAGTGGGATGGATGGATTGGGAAAGATTTAGATGCAACATCGATTGCAACAAGGATCCAGAAAACTGCATAAGGTAAGTGCGTTGATAGAAGCTGGGAGATCGAAGATAGCTAAAAGGCAGTGCTCGTTACCGAATTACGGAAGTGCATCACACACTCTCGGATCAAAAGCTTTGTGTTGATCAGTAAGAGCTGGGTGTATAGAAGTACTGTTGTTTGATACATATCGTTTTAAAATAATTTACGTAAAAGCACCAAAGGTCTTTGTAAAAATTATTAGTAAGGATCAGGATGTAGCAAAGGCCATGGTTTGTACGTGCGCGTGATTGAGCGAAAATTAATACATGACGTGAGTTTTTTTTTAGCAATAGACAAGATCAGGTGAGATTAAAATATTCTATTTTTCATTCGTGACGCATGAAATACTATCTAAAGTGCACATGACACCTGAATGTTTCTAAAATTTGTGCGTGTAATGGGATCAGCACCCCCGTCCCCTTTGCTACCTTTGATCAAAGCCGAGGACTGGGGGGGGGAGGGGCTGGGTAGGGAAAGGGGTGTTTATCGTGGTTGGGGTACCCGTGACACACGTAGTCTGTATTGTGTATTACCTTAGAGAATCAGTTTATTTAAAAAGCTAGCTTGAAAATAATGGCCATTACAAGTTTTGGAATTTCATACCCAAAGTCTTCCTGTGTTGTCTAAATATCCTAATCAGAACATGTAAGTCCTTTCCTTCCCTGTGATCTTCATCATTCACAACACAGACATAAGTCAAAAGGAAAATTTAAAGTGGAAAAGTCACAAATATTTCAAAGTGAATTCGAGAGGCAACTTTCATTTTAAATTTGACCAGGAGCTGAAATTGTTATATGTACCACAGGGGACCCGTGCAAGGGGCGTGTCTGGTCGTTTGTTTGAAATATAAAGAAAAGTATGGGAGAATATTGAAGAGTCTTGTCTTCTTATACAGTAGAGTAACAGTCAAGGAGATTTGTCTCCTTATACAGTAGAGTAACAGTCAGCGCAAAATCTACCAAATCGCTCAAATTCGCCATTTAGAACCACAGAAACGACAATACACGGCAAGTGAGGTAGGTTTACATTTATTTTGAGCCTTAACATTGACATTTCTCGATATAAGATTATGATATAACGACTCTTCAATATTCTTCCATACATTTCTTTACATTTCGAACAAATGGCCAGACACACCGCTTGTGTGGGCTCCATGTGTATATACTTAATTGTCTGTCTTAATTGTCTGTTTCAGTGAACATCTGATCAAGCAGATGGCTGATCGTCTTGCTGAAGATGGTTATCGAGATGCTGGATATGATTATGTTAGCATTGATGTAAGTGCCTTAATCTCTTGTTAATGTACTTGTGATGATGATAATGATGATGATGGTGACATTGACAGTGACATTGATAACTGTGGGGATGATGATGATATCCTTGTTGGATTTAACTTAATATTATATTTCAGGACTGTTGGTCAAACAAAGAGCGTGATTCTTCTGGAAATCTTCAGCCTAACAGTACAAGATTTCCAAGTGGGATGAAAGCTTTGGCAGAATATGTAAGATTATCATAATGCATCCATACTTGTAGTTATTGGAAGCATTCCCAAGTGCAAAGCTCTCCTGCAGTTGCAATCCTCCACTTTTTCACATGATTGTGGCTGACCAACTGACTACACAGGAATGTCTATTCTTCTTTTATCATGAATGGTTCTCTTTCTCCAGACTTTACCTCTTTTTTAGCCATTTTAGAATGAATTCATGATATTGTTTATTTTATACTACTCTATTGAAGTGTTAACCATTGGTATTTGTTTCTTTTCTAATTCTATATAGTTACATAGCAAAAGACTGAAACTTGGAATGTATGCTGGCAAGTATCTAGTTATTGACATTCTAAGCCCTAAAGTCAGAATACATAATCCTTTTAGATGTAATCAGTCACCTCTGAAGTTACTTCTATAAGTGATTTGTTAAAAGCAGATTTAATAATTTACTTCTGTTGCCAGCAGAAAAGGCAACATTTTTTATATTAGAGGTGAGCTGAGCTGCTTGCATTGCAGTGTAAATGCTTTTTTTTCTTTTCTGAAAATATTTCTGCAGAAGTATTAACCATTAGAAAGATATTTGTAAATATATCATCGTGTATTAAAAAAAAAACAACCCTTTTCTTTGTTTGTGTGATCTCCAACAGATTATGGCATCTTAACATGTGCTGGTTACCCTGGAAGTATTGATCACATTGAACAAGATGCACAAGTAAGCTGTTGATAAATATAACTTCACTTTTGATCATATGGAATCATCATCCTAGTAATTAGGTACTCCTGAGAAGGAGCCCCATCAGTGATACTGGCGAATGTCTACTAACCAAGTGGAGGTCATCACTAGATACAAGGAAATTACTTACTCTGATGATGACTTCCCCTTGGGTTGTTGAAACTATAGGCAGTGTGACAGAAAGTTAGCCCTTCTAACCCAAAGCCTAATCAATGCCTTGAATTGGTCTGTCTACTGTGTATTCAGTAAATTGCTTATAAGTTTAGCCCTAATAATCATGTGTCAAATGATGTCAATTGGGTGATAGTTTTGCTTTGTTCTCATCCATTTACTGCTTGAAAACATACACATAATTAAAATCTCTTTGATGCTAGACCATGAAGTGGAATGGGAGGCCTGGTAAAGTCTCAATCAGTTCAAATCCATGCAGACTATTTAATGTAAAATCACAAATTTAATATGTAACTCGAAATTATTAGCCAATTTTTAAACTTCAACAGCACTTTAATCCTTAACCTTTGCATTACTGCGTTCCCTCGTCAAGGCTGTACTCTAAGGAAAATTGAATGGAACCCAATGCTCTGAATCTGTGAAATCCAGGGTGCCCAGCATATGCTTTATATGAAAAAACTAAAATTCCTGAGTCACCCAAGAGCAAAAGTAAGGAGCCAGGGGTCACTGGATGCTGCTAGACCACAGCCTTGCCTCATTGTTAGGAGGGTAACTGCAGGCTGTGTTTTAACTTTAAGATCATGGATCCTTTCCTCTCACAGTTATCATCATACTTTTCAGACATTTGCAAGTTGGGAAGTGGATTATCTCAAAGTGGATGGTTGTTATGCAGACCCTGCTCTGTTTGATGTTGGCTACCCAAAATTTACTCAAGCTCTAAATGCAACAGGACGCCCAATATTACTGAGCTGTGAATGGCCTGATTACCAATCCAAAATTGGAATAAAGGTTCGATTCACACAGAGACAAGAATCATATTTACCATTTACATTGTTATGTGCTTAGATTAACAAATCTTTTATACTCACTGGACGTATGACTAAAACACTATTTTAAGAGAAAATTGCTACAAGACAGTTATTTCATTTCATTTTATGAAGAATCTCAACTTTGCTCACCTATAGCTGTCTGGTTAGAAAAATAATAAGTCATCAGTAATTGTGTAAAATCCCAAAATGGCTCATACTAGCAGAGCCTCTTCCAGCCTTTCTTAGGATTGTGGTACATCATTCCCTCCTCTTTCCAATCTCCCACTCTCCTCCTTATACCCTCCCCACCAAACTTTATGTTATGCGTAGGAAAGCCTTTGGTAATTTGCACAATAGAAGAATCTGTTTTTGCTGCCTACAATTTTCTGTTGAGTGTTGGGGTGATAGTTCATTAACAAGTAAAGGTTGAGAATTAGTAATTACAGAGGGATTTATAAAACAACGTTACAGCACCGTCCAAAGTCAGCATTCCTTGACCTACCGGGAGCAGGGATGGCGCAGTGGTGAGAGCACTTGCCTCCCACCACTGTGGCCCCGGTTCGATTCCCGGACCTGGCGTCCCATGTGGGTTGAGTTTGTTGTTGGTTCTCATCCTTGCTCTGAGGGTTTTTCTCCAGGTCCTCCGGTTTTCCTCCCTCCACAAAAACCAACATTCCAAATTCCAATTCGATCTGGAAACAGTGGACAAGGAGAGCCACCCAGTGGAATGTCCATTGCTAAATTATTATTTATTTATTATTTATTTATTAAAAATACTTCTATTTTAGCCTGACTATGCTGCTATTGCTAGAAACTGCAACACCTGGAGAAATTACCAAGATGTACAGGTTGGAAAGTCTATTCATCCATCCGTTTATTCTCAGTGATTTATTAATTCTTCATTTTTTTCGTTTAAGCTATTCGGCACTTATCTTCTCATTCTTTCCTGTGGAAACTGGTTCCTATTTAACTTAGCACTAATTTTTTTTAGTGTGGTGCAATGTGTGTGGACCATATTACTAGGAATTGACAACTCCTACACCGTTTTTTCGATTTTCCTTAACAGGACTCGTGGAATAGTGTTCTAGGAATTTTGGATCATTTTGCGGAGAACCAAGACACGTTCGTTCCAGCAGCGGGACCTGGGCACTGGAATGACCCAGACATGGTAAAATGCTAAACCAGCCGGCTTGTAACGAATGATCACTACCAAGTCATTAATATATTAGACATACACCTTACTTAGAGTAGCTTTCACTTGATAGTTCACCCAATTGTTCAACGTAAATTAGAATCTCATTGGCTTAGCTTTACTTTACTTTTTGATTGATTCAGAGAATTCGCGCTACATCCTCAACCAACCAGAGACAACACAACACTAACCTCAATCACGACTTGTTCATTAACATGCGTAATTATGGGTTTCCCTCGGTTGAGGGTAATTAGATTTGTTCTTTGTTCTGATTGGCCGCTGTAACAACTTTGGTTCTCAATACAACAAATTACATGGTATTCGGGAAATCACTCATATTCATACATTTTTAATAGTTTTGTTTTGATTTACCTGTACAGCTTGTCATTGGTAATTTTGGGCTGAACTACGAACAATCTAAAGCACAGTTTGCACTTTGGTCAATCCTAGCTGCAGTGAGTTTAGCCTTCTTCCCCGTCACTGTATATCGCACAAGTGATACGTTTAAGCAGATGAAGCCAGGATTGAATCTTTTGACATCCTTGCGTATGTCAGGCATTTTTACGCCTTGGACAAGCAATCTGCTCTCAACATTTACCGTAATAAACGGTCGGGAATGCCAACCAGGGAGTGCCCCGATCCTCGGGATTTTCAGCCCTTGGATTTTCTTTTGCTGTGGAACATAGACGATTTCCGAAGGAGAAAACGAAGATGGTCAGCTTTGGAAATGTCTGATCTTTTAAAGGAATTTCTTTACAAAAGTTGTTTTCTTTGTAGGCCGTAAGGGAGAATGCACTCTCAGATTGTGCGCCATAAATTGTACACCATAGAGGAATGAAGTGATAATTTTTTTCTGATGTCACCAAACCATAAAACACTACCTCGTATTACATTACACCCTTATGTCTCTATATACCTATTTATTAAATACTGGTTGATCACATGTCTTTATTTTAATGCACAGCCACTTATCATGTCAAATGATTTAAGGAACATCTCAAAGGAGGCCAAAGACATTCTTCTAAACAGGTAATCATCGCATCGTTTAACATGCATTGTTCAACAGATGAGTTGGGGTGAGATCCTACAAGTGAGGAAAATCCTGAAGAACTAAGTCCTTTTGGCCGGGCTACTCAGCTGTTTGAGTTACTTGTTAGCTTTAAGGTCGTAAATATCACTATTTTACTCTTGTGCTTTTTACCATCAGAGAAGTAATTGCTGTTGATCAAGACAAGCTGGGAAAAATGGGGAGAAGAGTGGTGTGTATACTTTTTTATGTCACATGATAGGCTAAAGTACACTTGCATTTTGATTGTTCCAATGAACTACTGGAGGAGACACATAGATGACATCACCTTCACCAACATTTTCTCTTTTATCATATAAAACCAATAAATTCTATACTGCCGGAGGTCTGTTCCGGCAGTAACAGATCACAGATGACGTCACAATGTGCTCAGAGCGTCTGTGGCACACTGGGATGCACCTCGTGTGCCACCTTTTTTGTTCTTACTACATTTTGACGTCATCTGTGATTTAGTCCTGAACAGACGCATGGAAACATGAAATCTGTTTGTTAAAAGAGAGATTTGGTACCGCGTTTACGTGAAACGGCAAACGTCAGCTTGCCCTTTCAAGTTTAACGTAAAATGTTGCGAACTTTGCTGTTTTAGCTTCGCGGGAGCTCACGTCATAGTGGACTTGAAGGCGCCCTTGTGTGACTTACAAGGAATAGTTTTGGCGCCCTTTTTCCGGCAATTAACTTCTACTCTGTGAGAAAAAAAAGTGAAGAAAATTTTTACGTGCACGGCAAAAGTGAAACAGGTTACTTTCACGCAGAAACTGCAAAGCGCAACCGGCAATCGTGAAAAAATGGCGGGAAAAACAAGTTCACGTGGTCTCTTCTGCTGTTCACGTTTCACGTAAACGCATTGCTAAGTCTCTCTAATTTAAAAATTCATACGGTGACAAAAGGCATAAATTCCATCCTCACACCAAACGCTATCCACATCAGTGGCCAAATTGCTCGATGATTCTCAAAACAGCGTCGCTGAGATTTGATACCATGCGTTAATAAGACATTTAGTCATTGTTTTAGCTCCGTGCTAACAGCACGGGGAAGACCATAGCTACTGTGATGGTGATGGACTAGGTCTTCATGAGGAATTTCTATGGTCAACGACCCAACTCTTTCCATAATCAACCCTGTATTCCCCTCTTAAGTTATGTTGTCCTTACCTCAACAGTTCGCTGAAAAAGATGTAGAAGTTTGGTCACGTGCTTTGTTTAATGGCAGTGTGGCTGCCGTGCTGTTTAATCGCAACCGAGACTCAGCACAGGAAATCAAAGCTGATTTTGAATTGGTATGTGGGAATTGACAGTACTTTGTTATCAAAGGAATTTTTTTATGGAGCTGTGTTCCTGAGTCATGCACGTTAAAGGCCAACCACCCTATACAATATTTGCTACTCCTCTGAAACCCTCTAAGATGTTCGTCTGGATTGCGTAACGGGAAGAATTTAAGGGAGGAAGGGAAAAGAGCTGTTTAAGAGTTGATTGCACTTGGAACAAGAAACAATTCTATAGTTTTAACACTTTCACATCTGTAGAGCTTTTACATAAAAGTTTAGCCAGTAATTAACAACATATCAGAGTTACAAACAACTACACCTTTCTTTCTTTTGGTGCTACAGATTGGATTGACATCGAAGACAGCCTCTGCCAGAGACTTGTTTGCTGGTAAAGACTTGGGTCAGTTTACCAATTTCGTTAGTGCCAAAGTAAATCCCACAGGGGTGGTCATGGTAAAGTTGTCACCGATTAAAGACGCCTTATTTTGACTCATAAGGTTTTTTAACGCATAGGGATTGGAAATTATTCATTGATTTTTATTTGATTATATCTGGCCACAATTTGTAAGTGGAAGTTCAATAATGCAATTTGAGCCAAGTTGGCCAACTGTTTCGAATAGGGAAGACGCTATCCTGAAGAAACACCTAGAAAGTTTGCTTTTATAACAATAGATAATTGTTTGATTATAATCTTCCGTAACAGACCGAACGTTTGAGGAGTGGTGAAGAATTACGTAAGCATATTTTGGAAGTGACACGGTTACTGACAACCATGCAATAATTTCAGTTTTTCGATAATGAAAGGAACCATTGAAATTATATTTTGAGCTTTATTAATCAATTTCACCTGGTTAGTGTGGCATAAGTGTGAGAATGGAAAAGATTAATTCCCCTTTCACTGATCAGCCTGTTGACTAAATTCAAATTTAAGAGTGCCCAAGGGATTTTATTCGCTTTGCGAAAACGGAAAATGAACTGCATCGTGTGCTCCATCAGCTAACACTGATTAGCAAACTGTTCATTTTGGCTTGGCTTACATATTCTTAATAGAAAAAAAATTCTTCTAGCTTGTACACACTTGTCCTTAGAGAGAAGAACCTAAATTTTCTAGTACTTCTGGAAACCTTTCCATGAGAATCATCATTAGTTTATCTATGTAGATCTTCATTGAACGATTCTCGTCAGCCAAATCTGAAATAAAAAAGAAGAGAGAACTTTACCAATTTATGTTCCAGCTCATACTTAACAAAATTTTCTTTGAATTGAAACAACTGCAGTAGTTGAAGGAGTTCAATTCCTAATTTTATCGTAAGTGGAAACATCACCGATTACAATGATTAATTGAAGAGAATAAACTTACCATCTATCACCTCTCTTAGTTGAGTTATTTCTGTTAAAAGTTCAGCACGTGAAGCTTTATCTTTTTTGCTCGACGCTTTGCTTGACGCTGTTGATCATGGTGTAAAAACCGAAAAAAATTAATCAGTCCAACACTGAAGGCATTTTAAAATTTTCCAAAAAGGCTTTTCCTTCCAAAGGGAAAACCGACAATTGACAATATCATTTATGTTTGACCTGTTTTAGTCCTTAAATTATTAGGGGTAAGTATACTACGATTCTTAACAAGTTTGGACACAATAATTTTAGTAACATGGGAAGTATTCTGGTGTGATGTCATGGCTAGTTGTCATAATAACAAGTGATTTAACCGCACAAATGACATTTTGAATGATACAAAGCTGCGTAAATTGAAGTTATTTAAGAAGTGTCTTCGTCACAAATTCAATTTTGAGGTTATAAAGACATATTTTACTATAGAAATGTAAATGATTAGGCGCAGTTACGCAAAGGTTTTTGCTAATTTTTCGTACGGTTTGTTCTTACGATGCGAAAGTCTGAACTGAACTCATGTGACGGAAAAAGATTTTAATTCACACGAAAGAGAAAATGGCTGATTCAGCCAAATCTAAGAAATCTAGAGAACGTCTACAATGAGGTCATGGAATACAAGAGAGAATAAACATGACAAAAGTGACACAGACGATTAAAACTTTAGTTCTATAACTTGAAAAAAACGTTTCCTTCTGATATTGATAACTTCCTGGGGAGTTCGTCATAAGCTTGCCAAAGCTGGGACTTCTGAGAATTAAAACATCTCTGTCCTTATTAAGGTCTCTGTTCTGATTATTTCATCAGCAATGATTCATTCTTTGGTGGCAAGTTTTAATTCCTGATTTCATCAGGCACCTATTATGCGCGTGTATTCCTTATAAGTGGCAAGGAGTTTTAGGCATACCAGTATATTCGCACAAAACTTTCCCCATGGAGTCGTGTACCGACTCTAATCTAAATGTCTGATCTGCAAAGGGCAGTACAGCCCATCTTCATACCATATTTAAGGGTTAAAAAAAAAAAAAAACAATAGTTACAACCAAATCAATGGCTACTTATATGGCTACCCACCTGGAGCTTTATCCTGAAATGTAAAATTGAGAGTCGATGTACCACGTCCACCAGACTTCGTTTCCACTACAACAGGTCCGGAGCCATTCCAAGGTTTCGTTACAACCACAAGCTTTGCTGGACTGTGGTATTCAAGTGTGGAGTACAGGTCACAGCCACAGAGAGTTACAGATACTATATCATCTTTTGAGTTACCCAGGTTGCAACCGCGCACTGTAATCCGTGTGCCACCAGACAAAAGACCCGCTTTTGGAGAAAGTCCCGTAATCTCCGGAGCGCGACTGGAGGACAGTACCTGACCCAAAGTGGGAGCGAGACGGGGTTTGAACAAAGCAAGGGGTGCTAAATTTGTGGCACTGGACGATGATTTAGGAGACAGTTTGGGACTTGGCGATCCAGGGTCAGGATTCTTAAATGGGTTCGTAGCATCCAAATTAATGTCAGTTTTAGGCGCAGGATTGGAGTATAAATTTTCTATCGACCTGGATCCTTTCACAGAAATAGAAGCAGCTTCAATCGAGGCTCTTCTTTTGGACCGATCTCGCCCGCCCCCTCCTATACGGCCCACTAAAGGTATCAAGGCATTCCATTTACTTCCCTCTCCAGCCTTCTTGAAGGAAAGGACCCAACAGTCGATGCACAAGTCGCCCATAGCTTGAGAATTTTTTGTCGTCAACGGAATCCATCGGCGACGATGAGCCACGGAGGGAATTTGTGCAAGTGGTAAACTCACTGTTCCAAGGGACTCCTCTCGATCCATCACTGTAAATATCAGTGCAGCTGGTTTGGATACTTTTCTGAGAGAAGAAACAAAATGGAGTGATGGTACTATTAGATATACAATTCAGGAAATCAATTCAATTTCAATCAATCAATTTATTTATTTGTTAGCAATACAATATTATCACAGTCCTAGGTGACCCGCAATTAGCAAGCTATTCTAGGCGGGCCACCCTTCTAAAACAAGTGCTGTCTCTGCTAATGATCACATACCGATACAATTAAACAAAGATAATCATTAAATAAAAATACAATTGTTAAATAAAATAAAATAAAATTAAGTCCGTTGAATAATTAAATAATCAATTGCAAAGTTATCAAGATATATAATACAATTGAAACAAGACTTAAACGAAGAGTTACTTTATCAAGAGATATTTACAAATTTCTGAGCAGCGTATATCAACATTCATCTCCTCATTTTCCAAAAGTTTTAACAGGCGATTTTTAAGTTCACGCTTAAACGGGGTTCTGTTTTTAATACGAAGTTCTTTTGGGATGCTATTCCACAATCTTACACCTATTCTAGCAAAAGAAAATAAAAGTTGGTTAGTTCTAGACGCTTTAACGTATAGATTAGCCGTTGCTGAGAATCTTGTGAAATGGTGATGAACCTGCTCGGAGTGGAGAAAGAGCATAGAAATATTAGACGGGGCACGGTGATTATCAATGTCATGCATCAAAGAGGAAACCAAATGAGAATAGAGCATAGTTATTGGTAAGATTCTGGAGTTAACAAATAGCGGGGCACTATGAGTTTTGCTATCCGCAAAATACATTAGTCGTAGAGCACGTTTTTGTAAAATGAGAACCTTATTTAAATGAGTGTTAGCAGCTTGTCCCCAGGCAATAAGACCATAAGAGATATAGGGTTCAATTAAGGAGCGGTAGATGTTAAGAAGTGTGGCAAATGGGACAAGATGTCTTAACCTGGCAATTATACCAATTCCTTTACTAACTTTAGATGAGATATAATCAATATGATACTTCCAAGAGAGGTTATTATCTATCAGAATTCCTAGATATTTCACAAAAGTTTTTTGTTCTAGAGATACACTTTTTTTAAGATCGTTATTATAAATTTTCAAGTGAACTATGTAGTCCAATTTGCGTTGGTAAGGATGGAAAATAACAAAGTTAGATTTACTAGTGTTAAGAGAAAGTTTGTTTGCGTCCAACCAGTCACCCACTTTTGCGAGTTCATCATTAACAACTTTTTCAAGATCCTTAAGATCTTTGTTTGAATAAAGCAAGTTAGTATCGTCAGCAAATAGGTAAAACTCAAAAATCTGGGAGCAACGGTAAATGTCGTTAACATAAATCAAAAAGAGAAGGGGGCCAAGTACAGACCCTTGAGGGACACCACAAACTATCTCTTCTATATTCGATACGGTTGAACCAATTTGAGTCGACTGGTTCCTGTTCAACAAGTACGAAGAGAACCAGTTATTAATTATTCCTCTGACTCCATAATGATATAATTTGTGCAGTAAGATTGAGTGATCCACCGTATCAAATGCCTTTTTTAGGTCAATAAAAATACCACAAGAGAATAACTTTGCATCAATATTAGTTTGAATTTTGCTTAAGATATCTAAAATTGCATGTTGGGTTGAACACTTGTCTCTAAATCCATATTGAGAAGTAAAAAAGATACCATTTTTTTCGCAATGTGATTTAAGACGTTTAGCCATCAATTTCTCAAATAATCGATTGAAGACAGAAAGGAGGGAAATTGGGCGGTAATTACATGGATCAGTTTCGTCTCCCGATTTGTAGATAGGAATTACTTTGGCATGCTTCAAAAGATGGGGATAAATACCCGTTGAGATAGACTTATTCATCATGGNTATCAAGATATATAATACAATTGAAACAAGACTTAAACGAAGAGTTACTTTATCAAGAGATATTTACAAATTTCTGAGCAGCGTATATCAACATTCATCTCCTCATTTTCCAAAAGTTTTAACAGGCGATTTTTAAGTTCACGCTTAAACGGGGTTCTGTTTTTAATACGAAGTTCTTTTGGGATGCTATTCCACAATCTTACACCTATTCTAGCAAAAGAAAATAAAAGTTGGTTAGTTCTAGACGCTTTAACGTATAGATTAGCCGTTGCTGAGAATCTTGTGAAATGGTGATGAACCTGCTCGGAGTGGAGAAAGAGCATAGAAATATTAGACGGGGCACGGTGATTATCAATGTCATGCATCAAAGAGGAAACCAAATGAGAATAGAGCATAGTTATTGGTAAGATTCTGGAGTTAACAAATAGCGGGGCACTATGAGTTTTGCTATCCGCAAAATACATTAGTCGTAGAGCACGTTTTTGTAAAATGAGAACCTTATTTAAATGAGTGTTAGCAGCTTGTCCCCAGGCAATAAGACCATAAGAGATATAGGGTTCAATTAAGGAGCGGTAGATGTTAAGAAGTGTGGCAAATGGGACAAGATGTCTTAACCTGGCAATTATACCAATTCCTTTACTAACTTTAGATGAGATATAATCAATATGATACTTCCAAGAGAGGTTATTATCTATCAGAATTCCTAGATATTTCACAAAAGTTTTTTGTTCTAGAGATACACTTTTTTTAAGATCGTTATTATAAATTTTCAAGTGAACTATGTAGTCCAATTTGCGTTGGTAAGGATGGAAAATAACAAAGTTAGATTTACTAGTGTTAAGAGAAAGTTTGTTTGCGTCCAACCAGTCACCCACTTTTGCGAGTTCATCATTAACAACATTAACAAGACGGTGTAGTATTGAAAAAATTTGGCTGTTGTTTTTGACCTTAGGTGTCAGTGAATACAGATATACTTAAAAGAAACTGAGTCAATTTGGACAAACGAACTCATTAAAAAGAGCGAGAACAAATAAGAGATTATTTTTTTAACATTGGTGCAAATTTTTGAAATACTTTGGAGACGCGTTATGAGCGAGAGCTAGTCCCAAGAATAACCTGTCGATTCCCCACCCCTCCCCCCCTTCTCAACTGTTTACCACTAAGATAATTTGCATAACGTATAATCAACGTGATCTTTAGTTTTAATTGTTTCGTGACTTTTGTTCCCTTCTTTTTGGTAAAATTTAAGATAAGTTGCGTTGATATTTTTTTTTCTACTGTTTTCTTTTTGTTTTGATTCCTTTCGATCTGAGTTGTTTGTATTTTTTTTTTTCGGTGAGCTTGGCTGAATCTTCCTTAGTAAAAGTGTGTTAGAAGCTTTAGAGTGATTGGAGATTGTAACTATCCAGCGTCAATTATGAATTCTCGATACCAATTCTCCAGAGCTAGTGAAAGGATAAAAAAACATGTGTAATCACAGTTCACTAGTCTTGAAAGACCAAAATTTAAAGGCAGATGTTTCTTATTAACGTAAATAGTATAAGAATAGATAATATATACAGAAACAGTCCCATAAATCGTTATTACAGTTTCCGATAAATACGAAGTTTTCGCTCATCAGTACGGCATGGGCGAATGACCAAACAGAAATAAAGAACTTTCAATTAAAAAAAAATTAAACAAGTCAGTAACTCCTTTCGCCTTGATTAAAATTGTTTAAAGCATGAAATGACGCTGTTTGCTTAGCATTAACTTTCGATTTTTGATTTACATAAGAAAAGCACAATTAATTCGCATTTAGAAGGATGGTTCTTATATTTCAGACAGAATTATTGCCTTTTGTTCATTTCTATGACCATTTATCGAATATTCCAGTATAATTTTCTCTTTGGTAGAAATGAACACAAAATTGATGATATCAATATATTCGTATTTTTTCAAAGAAAATAACAAGAAACATGACACTCACATCGTAGTTTCCTCGTTCCAAGTCGGATCGTTGTCTCGAACGGACTCCGTTCGATATTTGTGCTTGCCAATGCCAAAAACAACCGATGCATTACATACACCTGGAAGATTACAACAAGAAGTTTTTGTTAACAACATGGAGACCCACGCGCAAACACTTCACACTGGGTGTGGAAGACACATCGACTTACTTTCTCCTTTCTTGGGCTGTAGATTTCGAGCCGCATAAACTACGAACAAGAAAAAGCGAGAAAGGTAAAGTTATATTCTCCATGACTGCAGTATGATTTTGTACTAAATCGCTCCTTACCAACAACTTTCACTTCCTCTGGATCCATTAACAAAATTTTTCAATCTGATCTCTTAAATACTGTTTTATCGTTTTTACAATTTCGCGGGAAATGGTAAACGTTGCGTCACAGAGAACGCCTGTGCAACCGCGCTTTTCGATATCACGCGCACCGGGGTCCTATCAACAAGCCTCTCGCAGAAATATTTTGACCTTTCTGATAAACCACCGTCAATTTATTGAAGTAATGTATTATAAAAAAAAAGTCATCATTCTTATGCTAAAGGAAAAAGGAAAAATATGCCAAAAAATTATCCACATGTCATTGCTTTGATTGTTTTCATACATCTTCCAATCCATTGTTTTGAATCGTTTAAGTGGCGGAAAATGTAGAGTCACAAACCTCGCTTAGCTTTCTTATAATTCTAAAGAAGCATCTGTCGATACTTCAAATGGATTGAAATAGGTCTTTTTTACGACATCCGTTAGCAGATTGAGATGAAAGCGGAATCATGAACCACGAACAAGAATGAATCACAGTGATTAAATAAGAAGGACCATGGGGAAGATACCATGAATTTTCGTGTTCAAAACTTGGGAATCATTACTTACAAAATGAAAGTTAGAATTTGAAATGTTGATATCGAAAGAAAATTACAAATGAATCATGAATTATCGGGCTAAATTCTTATTGATAGAATGAAGTTTCTCCGACAACTTTTATGGTCCAGATCTGAAAAGTGATTTGAACATTTTTTTGATCTTAAATGGAATTATTCATAATGCAAAGAAATAAACTTCTTCAGTCTACTATGTCCGTTCTCTAGTCATCGGTAGCGTTTTAATGAGCCCTAGTATTTATGAATAGGAGCCTGTTTTCATCTGCCTAGCTAGAGTGGTGCTTAACCTTTTTTCGAGCCCCCTTAACCAAGCAAGCTAACGAGCAAGCAAGCAGAACACCGCTATATACTCGATCATGACCATGAATCACTATCT